TAATCCACCTGCCTTGGCCTCCCAAAGTGCTGGGATTACAGGAGTGAGCCACCACGCCCAGTGTTGTGTTTTATTTCTTCCATTTTTTACCCTTTCAGTACCTGTATAGTAGATTAATAAACCCTGACTGACTGCTGAGTGCCGTGGATCACGCCTGTAATTCCAGCACTTTGGGAGGCCGAGGCGGGCAGATAACCTGAGGTCAGGAGTTGGAGACTAGCGTGGCCAACATGGTGAAATCCCGTCTCTATTGAAAACACAAAAATTACCCAGGCTTGGTGGCGCTCGCCAGTAATCCCCGGTACTCGGGAACCGCTTGGGTTCGGGAGGCAGAGGTTGCAGTGAGCCGAGAGCATGCCACTGCAATCCAGCCTGGCGACAGAGCGAGACTCCACCTCAAAAAAGGCCAAGTGCGGTGGCTAACACCTGTAATTCCAGCACTTTGGGAGGCTGAGGCGGGTGCATCACTTGAGGTCAGGAGTCTGAAACAGTCTGGCCAACATGGTAAAACCCCATCTCTCCTAAAAATACAAAAATTAGTCATGTTTGGTGGCACGTGCCTGTCTCAGCTACTCAGGAGGCTGAGGCAGGAGAATAGTCTGAGGCAGAGGTTGCAGTGAGTCGAGATTGTGCCACTGCACTCCAGCCTGGTGACAGAGCAAGACTCCATCTCAAAAACAAAACAAAACACTAATAAATAATAAATACAGCAATTCAGCAGAGCTGCTGCAAAACCAGCTTTCCCAGCTCTGGGTGCTGGAGTTTGTTTCCATAACAAGGCGCCAAGTAACAAGCAGATCTCAACAGGGTGAACAACAGTTGCAGAAAGTGAGCTGTTTCCTTCACCCCCACCCTGCTCCCTTCACTCTAAAAAGTTACAAACTGTAAGTTTCCTTCCTGGTAAATTCCAAGGCTTCCTCACTGATTGGTCTGTTTGAGAAAGGATGAGACATCAGCAACTTTGCAGACTTGGGGCTGGAGGGTTAACCAGTATATGTGTACACACACACACACACTTTTTGAGATGGGGTCTCCCTCTGTCGCCCACGCTGGAGTGCAGTGGCTCAATCTCGGCTTACTGCAACCCCTGACTCCCTGGTTCAAGCAATTCTCCTGCCTCAGCCTTCCGAGTAGCTGGGACTACAGTCATGTGCCATCACGCCCAGCTAATTTTTGTATTTTTAGTAGAGATGGGGTTTCACCATGCTGGCCAGGCTGGTCTCAAACTCCTGACCTTGTGATCCACCTGCCTCAGCCTCACAAAGTGCTGGGATTACAGGCATGAGCCACTGCTCCTGAACTAACCAGTATATTGTTAGCCAATATACTATATTATTTATAAGAATCTCTCCGCAAGACCGGGTGCGGTGGCTCATGCCCGAAGCACTTTGGGAGGCCGAGGCGGGTGGATCACAAGGTCAGGAGTTCAAGACCAGCCTGGCCAAGATGGTGAAACCCCCATCTCTACTAAAACATACAAAAAAATTAGCTGGGTGTGGTAGCGGGTGCCTGCAATGCCAGCTACTCGGGATACTGAGGCAGAAAATTGCTCGAACAGGGAGGCAGAGGTTGCAGTGAGCTGAGATTGTGCCACTGCACTCTAGCCTGGGCGACAGAGCGAGATTTCAGCCTTCCCTTTGACTGAACAGACCAGCCTGCTCATTCATTCATTCATTTATCCAATTTCACTTATAAAATGAGCAGAGTACTCAATGGTGAGTGAGATTTAGAGCCACAAAGGCAGAACTGGATTGATCAGCAGATGTATTGAGCATGAGTTTGTAGAACCAGGAAAGCAATAGTGGCATCAAAAATCACTTTTTACACCGAATTTTTCTTTCTTTCTTTGTGAGATGGAGCCTCACTCTGTCGCCCAGGCTGGAATGCAGTGGAGCAATCTCTGTTCACTGCAAACTCCATCTTCCTGTGTTCAAGCGATTCTTCTGCCTCAGCCTCTCAAGTAGCTGGGATTACAGCTACTATGCCCAGATAATTTTTGGATTTTTAGTAGAGATGGGGTTTCACCATGTTGGCCAGGCTGGTCTTGAACTCCTGACCTCAAATGATCCGCCTGCCTCGGCCTCCCAAGGTGCTGGTGTTACAGGCGTGAGTCACCACGCCCAGCCTCTTTTTACAAAGAATTTGATAAATATGTATATATTATATATGTATTATATATTATGTATGTATTATATATTATGTGTGTGTGCGTGTGTATATATATATATATATATATATATATATATATATATATTTTTTTTTTTTTTTTGAGATAGAGTCTCTCTCTGTCCCCCAGGCTGGAGTTTGAGGTGTGATCTTGGCTCACTGCAATCTCCGCCTCCCAGGTTCAAGCGATTTTCCTGCCTCAGCCTCCTGAGTAGCTGGGGTTACTGGCGTGTGCCACCACGCCTGGCTAATTTTTGTACTTTTAATAGATACTGGCTTTCATCATGTTGGCCAGGCTGGTCTCGAACTCCTGACCTTCTGATTCACCTGCCTGGGCCTCCCAAAGGGCTGGGATTACAGGTATGAGCCAGCGTGCCCAGCTAATAAATATAGTTTTAAAGCAGCAAACCAGTGATTATGGGAAAGAATCGGTAATTTGGTTGACTTCTGCAGTGTTACTTCATAGCTTAGTATTATGTTTATTTTTGTTTTCCACGTAGGGGAGAGACACCAGTTTTTCACTTTTCACTGTTCAGGGTTTCTAAATGTTATGATCAAACCCCAATGGTGACAGGGTGGGTGAGTGGGAGTGGGCAGGTGTTAATCTCAAAGGCATGGTGCTTGTAAATTGAGCATGTTGTTACAACTAGAATACAGAGTGTGAAAGCCTTAGGGAGTCTAGTGAGAACAAATTTAAAGAGATGGAGTGGGCCGGGCGCCGTGGCTCAAGCCTGTAATCTCAGCACTTTGGGAGGCCGAGGCGGGTGGATCACGAGGTCAAGAGATCGAGACCATCCTGGTCAACACGGTGAAACCCCGTCTCTACTAAAAATACAAAAAATTAGCTGGGCATGGTGGCGCGTGCCTGTAATCCCAGCTACTCAGGAGGCTGAGGCAGGAGAATTGCCTGAACCCAGGAGGCGGAGGTTGCGGTGAGCCGAGATCGCGCCATTGCACTCCAGCCTGGGTAACAA